GCCTCCGGGAAGGCCCGCCGAGGTCGCGCGGTGCGCACGGCGGCCGCGGGGTCCCCGCGCTCCGACCGGTCGCGGGCCCGGCTCCCCGAAAAGCAGCGAGCGGGCTTGTCCTGCGATAGCGAGAAGAGGGCAACCAGATAAACGTAATAAAGTTACCATTTCCCCATTAAAGGTCACGTCAGACTCTCCCAGGGGAGGTTAGTGAGAAAACCTCAAATTATACGGACTGGCTGTGGACCGTTTAATTTTTCTTTCCCTCTGTCCCTCCCCTGACTCTCCAAAAAAAAAAAAAAAAGAAAAGAAAAAAGAAATTAAAACACCCCTGTGTTTTGTTTTTTCCTGAGAAAAACTAAGCAACCACACCAACAAAAATTCTAGAGTTTTGAGTCTAAAGTCATCACCATCCCAGAGTCAGGAGTTCAAAGCTCTCAACCCTCCCCCCAAAACCCCGGACCTTAAAGCAGCTAAGGTTCCTTTGAGCAGACCTGGATAGGTTTGCAAATTTCTTAATACCAAACTCCAATTCTAAAGCCTCAAAATACCCAGTTTTCGTTTTATTATTTTGAAGATTTAATTATTACTTTGAAGATTTAAAACTCTTAAACTTTTCTTATCTATCAAAATCAGCTTTTTAAGTGAAACGTTACTTAAAGTGAACTTTAACTTAAAGTTAACTTGTTACTTTTATTCACTAGGGAAAAAATCCTAGTCGTTATTTTCTCTAACCCCATTTTCACTTCCTTTTCCCTCCCTTATATTGTTAAAACAGAGTCAGATACATATTAGTAGCTCTCCCATGACAAATATCCCAGAAAACAGCAGCAAGGAGAGTCCCTTTCCTAAGTCTGTTTCTACTATACAGAATGCTAATGAGAAATTATAAGAAAGCTTGTCATTTTCTTCTACAAAAGGGCCCGTAATTCCTAAAGAGGAGGCAGTATGTACAATGCGTAGGAGCTCCAATCTCTGGCACCACCGCCACTTACGAAAGTTATTGAACGTTTTAGAGCCTCCATTTCTTCATCTGTAAAACGGGGAAATAATAGTCCCAACCTCAAGAGATGTTAAGATTTGACGAGAGAATGCAACCTTCGATGGCACATAGTGAGCATTCATTAAATAGTACCTGTGGCTATAAATGGCTGTTAGAGATTGACTTTTAAAAACAAACAATTTTTTTGTCAGAATATACTTTGTTCAGAGAGCTCATAGTCAAAAAAAGTCAAGGCATTTTGTTACAAACAGTAGAAAGACTCTATTTAAAGCACCTAGCATTCATAGTAGCAAGCATTTATAAGTGCTCAGTAATTTTTATTAGGTCATCATTTCCTGGAATAACATCTTGAAGTATAGAGTTGAAAAATAGGCTCTAATTCCCACATATAGTTGATGAACCCAGTTTAAAAATAAAGCAATGTCATAATCCAAAAATCTTGATGATTTTTATTTTTACTCCCTTGAATTATAGACCCAGCATTTAAACTTGTTTAGAAATGGCTAATATATACAAATACCTCAAAACTAAACTGATCAATTTAAAACAAAAATAGGACACTGTTTCAAATAAGCTACTCCATATATCCTGAACATTAAACATCTGTTACATGTTATACACTGAATATTAAATCGCTAAATTATCAGATTTATAAGAGCAAGTAACTTAAAGAAATAAGTGGCCAAATAACTATTGTTCTAAATACTTAAGCGAACAAGTTAAATTTTTTTCCAGAAGAAAAAGATAATTGAATCAAACTTACATTTGAAAAGTTCTTGCATTGCCATGTAGTAAGATAATTCAAATGATGTAAAATGTCAAAACCTGGAAAGTTTCTAAGTACAATTAAATCGGTAGCTACTCTATTATTATCAAAATAGTGCTTAATGCTGAAAGTGTGTAAGTAGCCACATAAACTTAGGCTCTGTCATTTTGTGAGCAGTTTTGGAATTTAGACATTGATTTCCTTGAGGGTAAAATTATACATTAATACTTGTTCTTAAACATGCAAAGGTAAGGTGTGTTGTATATATATATATGTGCATTTCTCTTAGCGGTATTCAAAGGGCAGCTTTATTTTTAAAAGTTATTTTTCAAAATGTTATCAGCATATGTACATTTTTACAACCAAAATGTAAACTCAGGTAACAATTTTTCTCTATTTGTATTATGAACAAAATTTCAAAATCTTTGGCACAAAAAAATCCTCAAAATTTTTGCACATGATACACTCAGGGCATTTACAGTTGTTTTTAAATAGTGCAATATTATATGATCCTAGTTTCACTTTAGTATATAAAGGAGGAAATTGAGAATTCAGAATCATAGGACTTACAGCATAATCTTTTCCCAGAAGACACCTGTAAAATCCAAAAGGGCTGAATTGACAACTGATTATAGGTGTTATTGATTCCTGTAATTTAGAGTTTCTATTCTCAGTTGATACTGCAAAGAAAGATGCCCTCTTGCTAGTAATTAGAACCTTATGCACATTTCAGCTATACACACACCTATCTTTTGTTTTTAAAAATATTAGTTAAGAATATTCAAACTTGTCTTACACACATTAATGGTACCCTGCAATTAATATTTTATAGTACCATGAGAAGTCCTTATTGTCTACCGCTGAGGATAGAAGAAAAGGAGTATTTATTTTGTCTTTTTTCACCCACATTCAACACTGGGCTAGAACTGTTTAATCTCTTCTATTTTGAACGGCAACAATGTTCTCTGGTTCCTAATAGCTGGTTCTCTTCTGCTGAAAGCATAAAACCTCTATTGAATGCAATTGCATGGCAAAAAAGCATATAGAGAAACATGGGGTGGGAATATAGCTACCCTTTTATATGGTGCTTAGTGAATCAATGCCTGATTTTGTTTAAACAGTTTATAAACAGTTGCATAGTTCTTGAAAAATTTTCTACAATTGAGCATACTTTCTCAGAAAAAAATATATTGCATATTTGGTACTCTAATTAAAGTAATCTGAATGCTAGATTTATAAGAGTTGAGTATCTGCATTTTGGGGTAGTAATATATTAACTCAGACAGCAAGTTTAATATAACAGTTACAATTTGAGATGTCAGAAATGGAGAATAGTCTATAAATACTTGAACTTAAGAAAAAAATTCAGAGTTAAACAAGTTGTGAAAATAGTTGAATTTGGAGACATAAATTAATCTGAAATTCTTACGAAACATTCATTTGTACGTTGTGTTTGAAATAAAGGTAGTATTTCAGAATCCTGAATATAATTTTCCAGTACATTATTTTTAAAACTGGCTGTCCTTGGAGACATACTGTTCTCGTGAAAATGTAAATGATGTTGCATTGAATTTTTCTTCATAGCAAATAAATTAATTTTGTGTTAAATAATTTACAGTTTTGTAGAGAATGCAGTCTTAGGCAAATGCCAATAGTCTTTGAAATTCATAATGTTATCTATTATGAAGAACGTTCTTTGACCTAGTTAGCTTTTAACTAAAATTAATGATTATGTATCAGTAAAATATGTCATATAAAATACCAAAAAAAGTGATTTAAAATTTTTTCAAGCCTACATCAATTTTAATAACATTTGGAAGCATAAAATTCATTAAAAAAATTTGAGTAACAGCTTTCCATTACCTAGAGATATTTAGATCTGCAATGTGATAACTAAGCATAATTAAGGTCCTTTTGGATGGATGTTGAAACCATATTTACAACTGTGATTTCATCTGTCAGATTTGTTTTACTAGGTCATTGCATAATGAATTAAGAATGGTAGAACCAAAATCAGAAAAATGATTTCACCAAAAAACCAAGAAAATCTTGTTTATTTTCATATCCGAACATTTTTCTTGCTTATGATGTCAATGTTGAAATTCTAGGGGAAACACATCTTTATTTGTGGCTAAATCTACTTTGTTATAAGCCAAGGTAAACTCCTTGTATCATAAGAGGAGGACCAGGTAGAACTGAGAAGTGGATGAAAAATTGTGGGTGGAGGACTTGGTACTGCTACTTGCAGTTTCTTCAAGAGAGAAAATGTTGAGTAGACAATTCCCAGAATTTGAAGAATAGTCTATAACCTCTAATTGCCAGACAGTTGTCATACCAGTTTTTTTCGTGGTCACAAATGTTTGGATACTATTGCATTTCCATTTTCTCTTGGGGGGAGGGTAATAATGGAACAACCATAAACCAAATAATGAACTGGCTAAATTAGAACTTTTATTTACCATTTTCAACAGCTTTATTCATTTTGCTTAAAGTATAATGCTTGTTCTGTGATAAAGGGTGCCTAAATTTTTTGTTTTGTTTTATTTTTAAAGCAACAGTACCGAATCTTTTGCTTTCAAAAGACTGCACCAAGAAGTATACAAATGATTATGAAACGCCTATGATGTGTCCTGTTTGTGGGGATATGAGATGGTTAAGGCGAGTCCTTGTCCTCAAACTGTTTACAGTCTAGCTCTCTGCCAATACAGCTTCTCAACATATTCATTTAAAAACATATTTTTTAAAACTGGCAAGTCTATAGTTCTAACATTTTAGAACAAGTGAAATGAAAACTCATAGTTTCATTCATTCTCATGATAACCTCAACTAGACTACATTGCATCTTATGTATTTTTCCTGGACTATTTCCTTTAATGTCAGTGAGATAAAATCTTTTTCTAAAAATATTCAACAAAGCAAGTAACTTACTTTTTCCAGCGTATGCAATCTGGTCTATTTTACTTTGTATTAGTAAACCTCATTCTCAGAATTAGGTAGTAGATAGTTTGCTTCAGGGAGGACCCTGGTACAGTTCTTTAGAGGAAAAGATTCTCGTGGCTTTCATGGAAGATCAACATGAAAAAGGGGTTGATAGATTGAGGTCTTATTTATGGAATCTTTAGGTAAAGTCATTTTCAAAAATGAGATTTCCATTACATGCCCATTGCTGGGGTTTCATTTGGAAAATTTGTTTACTCTTCCCTGAGGTTTCCATATGTTGGTTGATTTATAAATCATATTTACAATCCAATTAAATAGAGTAATTTAGCATGTTTGCTCCCACTATATTTATGGTGTACATTTGGTAGTCTCTATTCAGCCTAACTAGCTTTTCAGATTAATTACATGCCCTTCACTGAAAACATTAAACAGATTTGGGGAGTTTAAGTCATGTACTCTTTTACTGGAAAGAATAAACAAACATCAATGCTACCTGTAGTTGGTTTTCCTTTGCGGTGGAAAATTTTACTCTTTCAGCGATTGCTTCATAAATAACAATTACTTTACCCAGTAGAGATTTATATCTTTTACTAATGTCATGTTTCAAAATTAATAGTGAGAAAATTGATGTGTTTATTGAGTCACTAGAAGGAATGAACAGTGAAGGCGGCAGGTACATTTAGAGCATATTTGTTCTCTCATCTTCTTATGCCATTTTTTTCTAAATTTCTAAATCTGAACTTCAAAGGAAAATTAAGACAAAACTTTTTCACCCCAAATCTAGGGCATAATTTAACCTGAGGGAAAGCTAAGAGCAATTTTTATACTGTTTAAGTTTAAAGGTTTCTATCTTTTTTTATTTTTTAAGCAAACACTCTCCTTGCCTTTTTCTACAAGATAAAGTCAAACCTCGGCCAACTTCCCTTCCTACCCTTCCTTTCTGTGATACAGGGGACTGCATTACAAAATGACTCGAAATATATTGTGGATTTTAAAGAACGTTGAAATATTTAATACTAATAGGAATAATAACATAAAAGCAAGTTTGGTGCCTTAAGTATGAGAAATTGGACAAATATGGAAAACAGGTAGTAGTATTTTTTACACTTGACAAACAAATGTAGTCATGGAATAACTAAGGCACCCGAAGGTAACACAGGTCTAAATCCAATGTTCTGTCTCCCCTATATCCCAGAAGCATTATCTAAGATAAGAGTCCATTCCAGCCTGGTTTCTCAGGGGGGAACATCTCTGGGCAAAAAGAAGTGGGTCCATGTAAGGCGATTGTAGACATTGCAACAGAACAGCTGAAGAGCCCAGAATAAAGGGGTCCCATCAAAGAGCAATGGTGTGGAAGTGAAAATAATAACCTAATGAATTAAATTAGAAAACAATTTCTATATTGCAATTGAATTGGAAAAAGTATCTAATTAACCTATGTCAGCTTTTCTTACCTCTAAGGATTAAATTGGTTTTACTACTAATAATTCTATTATTTACATTATACTTTCACTAGGAAATATGTTGGTGTGTTAATTCATTCACATCACTACCAGGAAACAGGGTTTACCCTTTATTTCTAAATAATAGAGAAGTTGAGGGGAAAAACTGCTACTTGAAGAAGGATGCCGAGTGTCCATGCCAGGATCAGGATTAGAAAATAGGGTGTTTTTGGTGTTGTTAATAGTAACGATACCAACAATAATTTACTGGGTGCCAAGAGAGCACTGGTTTCCAGGCAGACTTGCCTGCCAGAGCGGCTGCATTTTGTTTGCAAACTAAGATTTTACGTTTAAATTCATTTCAAAAGATTTATCCATGCAACTTTTAAAAATTCACATCACAAGGCCCAAAACTTTGCAAGCGGATTTTCCAATTTCAAAACCATGTATATGCAGTTCTTTTATATTTGAATAGACAGTCTCTTTTTTGATAAAATAGCTCTGGAAAAAAATGCCCCCAATCTTCACTTAAAAACCCTTACGAGGCAAACTGCCTGATGTTGCATGTCCTTTGTCCAACAGGCGTTTTCAACATGATGTTTTCAAATGTGGCCCATGCTTTATTTAACAAAGGTCGTGCTCATTTTGAGTTTCTAAAGTGACAGCCCACGCTCTGTGCCCTTCTTTACTGAAAATGAAAGCTACACCAACCAGGCCCTTCACAAATGCCTCAACAAAAGAGCCAAACAAAACTGAAGTACGAAGCACGGGCAAGGCTGACAGCGGCGTGTGGAGAGCTGAGCTGATCCTGAGAGTTTAATCACCTCTACTTCCTTCCTCCCCTCGCATGTCCATCCTGTAATTCCAACAGCAAAAGCAAATACTGTGAATTTTCTGGTTTTAGCCTCCTCAAAACCCTTGTGGAAAGAATAATATCCTGTCTTTTGGCATTATGTTTGTTTAAGTAGAAAGACTGTGAGTGCATTTAGAATATAATTAAGGTCAAATCTAAAAAAGAATTGGAAAGTGGAGTCAGAATACTGTTAGCTTCTCCTACTCCGAACCTACATTCTGCTTCTTTCTGGGAACCCATGAAATGTCAACTGCTATACTGTGATGATTTTCACCTCTTCTCTTTTCCTGCTCCTCGTAGGCACCCAATGGTCTCCCAGCTGTGAGCAGTTTTGTGTCAGCATCCAGCATGGCTCCCTACCCTACCCCGGCCCAGGTGTCACCTTACATGACCTACAGTGCTGCTCCTTCTGGTTACGTTGCTGGACATGGCTGGCAACATGCCAGCGGCACCCCACTCTCCCCCCACAACTGTGACATTCCCGCGTCGCTGGCGTTCAAGGGCATGCAGGCAGCCAGAGAAGGTAGTCACTCTGTCACGGCGTCCGCACTCTGATGGGAAATTCCATCTGCAGCAGCTTCCCCAGGTCCCCCCTCTCAGCACACCCACCCCTCTTCCCAGGTCTCGGATCCCACTCCTTCTGCCCGCCAACCCTCCTGCCTCGCAAGCTGGCTTTCCGGACTCACATCCTTTGTGCTGATGACACTTAAGTATTTCTTGCCATAACTTCTCTCTCTCACAGAAAACCTGACATGACTTCGGGATTTAAAAACAAAAGCAATGCTAAGGATTGAATGAGACATTTGTGTTGCCCACACACTGTTGTAACGTAGTGAAGAAACCTGCACCCCTCAAAGGGCTTAAGGAACTTGTAAACTAGTCTTTGGTAAAACCACATGTGTATATTTATTCTAAATCAACCTGAACTTTTGAAACGTGCAATTGTTGAGATTTTGCAAAATCAATAAAGGAAAATACATATAGAAAAATGTTATGCTACACCCTCTAATCAAATAAGGTGACCAGATAAGCCTTAATTCACTATTAATTAGGAAACCAATCAATAATTGACTTGTTTGAGTGATCCTTTGTTTATCTTTAAGAGGTGACCTATTTTGTTGGAAAATATATGTATAACACAAGCAGTATCTGACTTTAGCTCCTCCTGGCGTTTTGACTTGGTTCCAAATACAGTAATGTTTATATTTTCTATTAGTTTGTAAATATGGACTCTGGATGGTGCATTTGTGTTTTCATTCCATGGGACAGCCCCCTCCCTCCACCTCTCTCTATTTTTTTCTTTCTTTTTGCAAAGGTGACTTTCTAGCAACGTCTTTGTCTCTGTTTGGTGGTGGGCTGCTCGGGCTCCCGGACCTGGACTTGCCCCCAATTTTGTGTGTGCAGTGAAGGCGTCAACATCTCATGAAGGACATATTCTTTCTACAGCAGAGAACTCCAAAAAACAGATAAAACAAGCCAGTCTCTCATTTTGTATCCTAATCAAACAACACACATGCCAAGCATATAAAGACGAGAGGGTGGAAAATGTCTGACCAAGAAGGCTCTAAAGGAAGTCACTTAGAAACTTAAGTTTAATGTGAAACGCTTTGCAAAGACACTTAACATGAACTTTACATTAAGAAAACCACTGTGAAACTAAATTGTACTGTTATTGTTGGCTTACCTGTGTGTTCAGCAATCTCAGCCCAAAATTATGTTGTAATTTAAAGAAAATGGAAAATTCTGCTCTAATGAATGTAAAAATGGCTTGCTGTGAAGTTTACATGGTTGTACAGAAGCATGTTTCATGTGTGAGTAAACTGGTGGTGGTATTAGAAATACAAATGCTATTTAATTTTTAAAACTTCCCTTTTTTCATTTCTGGAGTTATAGGACACAGTTTAACTGATAAATCTTTCTAGACCAATTTGTTTTTCACTTTAATGTTAATAATAGAGCTGTGGGGTATATGTGTGTGTGAGCATGTGATTATGTGTTGTCTTTTAAAACAATTGATTTTCCTGGGCAAAATTCTACAGTTTTTATCTCTTCTGTTTAGAAAGTTCTTCCTGCTTGGCGATATAGGCTTGAAAATACGTTTTAAAAAAACATTGGTATAATTCATCTATTGGAAAATTAATATATTGCGAGTTTTTTGGTATTAATTCTGTGCAATAACTAAAAGGGTGCATCACTAGATATGGACGTTAAAGACCCACTCGCCGGGTAATTTTGATGTCTTCCTACCTGTGCTGTGCACAGCCTCCATGGCACTCCAGTTCCGTCTCATTGGTTTCATGGCTTCATTTACAACTCAGATAGCTAGATCAGCTAGGCTTTCAAATCGGTAGGATATAAACAGTAAGCAGATTTCTGACATACAAGTTATGTTCGAGGACCTGCTTTTTTCGAGCAGCAGATATCTTGTAGAGAGCTTTGAACTGCATTTATTTCTAAAGCAACCGAAATTCAGTGCTACAAACAGAGGATTATAACTTCAGGAGAAGAATAAGCAGAAGGAGCAGATGAACTCTCAGGGCCATAGTCTTCCTTTGATCTTGTAAACCTCCTATTGACATCTGGAGTTCCCAGTCTGGTGAGAAAATAGACTATAAACTGAATGGAACAAAGATACCAGTCCAATATCTTCGTGGAGACTTTAAAACCATACCATACAGGGACTCTCCGGCCGTCCAGAAAAACTGACATAAGGTACCGAATTATTCCTTATCAGATGTTTTTAGGTGGCTATTAGGAGTCTTTAAAAAAATATCAATCGTTTGTCTGGAAACACAACTAAATGTTATTTTCTTTATCTAAGTTAAGAAATCTCTTGTTATTATGCTATTTATGATTTTTTTCTGGTTCTTGTATTTTTAAAAATCTAATATTAATGGTATCAAAGTTTTCTTTTTATTTTTCTATTTTCCCCCAAATCTTTTCTTAGCAACAGTGAATTCACATGGAGTAAATTTAAAAAGACAACAGAAAGCCCCAAAACAATTTGCTATTCAAAGCAAATTATGATGTAAAGCTCCTTTTAAAAATAAGAGAAGGAAAATGGGATATGATATGGGGTTGGGATTGTTTGATTTTTAAACATTATCATTGGTTAATGTTGACATATTTCTTCTGTTTCTTAGGGGGTAAAAGTGTTGTTTTTAAACTGGCAAATGCACTCTTTGGAGATCCTTTTCCACCCCATGCACATGGAGAAGTTAAAGGTTCACTTTCATGGCCTCTATGCAGGCAGCCCTCTCCTTCCCAGGATGCAGGAGCATGCCCTGCAAGACAACGCAGGTGCACAACAGACACATCCTTATTCTCTTGTCTTTTCCTACTTTTAATGACCCTCTCATTGAATATTGGGCTGAAATATAAATTAAAAAACACGTTGGAAAGGATGTACAACGAAGGCTGTGTATGTATATACAATATGTCATAAAAGCCTTTATTTTTATACTTCAAATGCTCTAAATTAATAAAAAGTAATAATTACCATGTTATCTTTTATTTTTTTATTTTCAAAATGCTTTAGTGACATAGCCTCATGGTAGAAATATCCCATAGTAGTAGGTAAGAACAGGCATCATCTAGAATGTGCAGGTATTTTTGTTGATTTTTAGCCACTGAAGGAGATCATTTCAGGATGCAGATATACAATCAAGGGGGGTTATATTAAGGCCAAGGAGATACTTTTTGAAGTGCATGTTAGTACAGGAATCTTTGGAAATGCTAAGAATGTACTTCTATTTTGAAACATTTTTTTCCCTTCATAATACATATTTTAACACTGCAGATAGCAGACTTCACACCTGAAGCTGTCACTTTAATAACCTGGAAATGTAGTTTTACTCTAAATATTCTTTTTAAGAATAGCCTGGGTAAGAATTCTCAACAAAGATATTGGGATGCAAATACAGACAGCACAAAATGGGCCCTAGGAGTGGTTCCAATTTGTGATTTGACATGAAAATATTTCAGCAACAAAACTTGTTTTCAAAGGGAACTATGCGAAGGAAAGTAGTTTAATATAATTTCATGTTTTCTATTTGTCATAAAAGACTTCAACTATCATGATTTTAAAATATGACCTGCTTTAAACAACAGTGTAAAATATAAAGTAGCTTTAGGGAAATACAGCTGAGATGTGTATTATTACTAAAGAAAACCAACAGATTTACATTTTAACATAAAATGTAACATTCTTAGAAGGCCATTTTAGTGTACTTTAAAAAAATTTTCCTTGTATCCTTTAAATATTTATAGAAGAATTTTCATTCCTCATAAAACTCTAAATTTTGGCTTATTTTTATTTATTTATTTTTTTACTTTAAATATTTCTTGACTTCTTGGGAAAAAATAATGATCAATACAATGAATTTTCATTGTGAAGCAGTGTAAGAGGAACACAGGTCGCAAAATTTATATTGCTTTTATGAAATATATCTGATTCTATGCTATTTTTTCTGTATTCAGTTTACATACCTCATTGCTTCATATGATTTTTCTTCTCACAGTTTTATGGATATGGCTAAAACTACAGTCAAATTATCTAGAGATGATAATTTTTTCTTCTTTTTTTTGGTAGGTTTTTTTTTTTTTGGTGAGGAATATTCGCCCTGAGCTAACATCTGTTGCCAATCCTCTTCTTTTTGCTGAAGAAGATTGGCTCTGAGCTAACATCTATGCCAATCTTCCTCTATTTTTTTGTATTTTGGATGCCGCCACAGCATGGCTTGATGAGCGGTGTGTAGGTCCACGCCAGGCATCCGAACCCATGAACCCTGGGCCATGTGAACTTAACCACTACGCCACCGGGTGGGCCCCTACAGATAATTTTTGAATATCAAAATAAGTTTTGTTCTTGAACAAACTGTTTTCCCCTTTATAATTGTATATAATTGTATAATTATAATTTATAATTGTATCAACTTAGCTGATTGATAGTCTCTCGTCATGGTGCTATTTAGTAAATATGCATTATTTCAAGTGGGAAAACCCTTCCTAGGCAATCACCAGTTCTCCTGAAGCCATGAGTAGGCATATTCATAAACCAGCAGCATCACTGCACCACCTAAAAAAGAAAAGAGCTGGTTTTAACGGCAAATCTTGTGAAATAGTGTCATCTCTCCCGCTATGTTTCTGAATCCATGAAGTCCCATGCAGCCGATTGGGCAGGGGCTGTTCGTAATCATCAGTTCTTGAGCAACAATACAGAGATATAAAACTATTGTGTAATTCTCAGAGCAAAATCAAGACCATCTTGAGTCTCCAAAGACGTTTTTTTCCCCATGAGTTTCTGTAACTTTCATCATTTCTCATCAGATTCTTTTTCAGGCACTTTTAATTTTTAAAAGTAAATAAATATAGACACATTTAGTCATGTAAGGGCATGTGGCTTTTCTGCAAACAGAAGCTTTCAGATTCTTCATATGTAGGCAAAGGATTGATTTTTTTCAGTCCATAATTAGCATGGTCGGATTGCATTCAAGAAGGAAATCTCTAAGATGGTGCTTGACAGATGAGTCTGGTTTTCTCTTACAGCTTTCAAACTGGATTGCAATGTGAAAAATAGCTTCTGAATATTTAAAAAATCTGTACTGCAAAACTTAGCTAGCTTTCAACTTCCTTTTATTGTCATTCCAGCTGCCTCAGATATATATAGGGATTGCACTTAAAAATTTGGTAGTGGGGGTTGGGTGTCATCAGACCACCATTTTTCTTGCAAGCGAAGACTTACATAACTGACCGTAAAGAGGCTTGCTATGTAAAACATCAACAGGAATGTGATGCAGGAAAACAGGCACCGAGGCTGCTGAATACCCAGACATTGGGAGAAGCATTTGTATGTGGATGATTTTGTATTCTCTCTGATGCAGTAAAGAGCACATGTCCTGTGCCCTTTACGATAATCTGTATTTATCCTTTCATGTCTGTGTGAAAAATATTACAAAATCAAAGTGTGGACGAATATCCTGAGCACAATTTACAGAAGACTTGGCTGCAGGAACAGAAGATTGACGTCTGATGGAAAGAAATAGAACTTGATTTTGATCTTAGTTATTTTGTACACACTGCCATATGCTTTTTTTTTTTTTTAATCTACAGGCCCCATGTTTGTGTAACCTTATGCCAAAGATAATTATCTGTATGTAATTTTCATTTTTAACCCATGAAGATACTCTATTAGACCCCTTTCAGCTGCTATAGCCCTCTTCGCACTCTGCAAACAAAAAGGGACGCATGACAGCGGGTTGTTAATATGTATGTAATTGCTCGGTTTACTCTTATTAGCTGTTCACAATGTAAGACAATAACACGCAGATTTGGGTTAGTTTTCAGCCTAGTGATATGTGAAGTTTAAACCACAGACTTCGAGATTCTCCTTTCATGGGAGGTACCTGATCATTAGCCATAGAGAGGTGCTAAGGCTGTTATAAAAATAAGATGGGATGCTTGTCCAGAACGAAGGATGAAAATTCCAGGTTCACTTTTCTTTTTTACTGTCTCTCTCTCTTTTTTTAAAAAAAATCTTAGCCTTAACTCAAAAGTCTTACCTTTCTCTCTACCTTTCTTTCCTTTGAAGTTACTTAGGACTTGCGAGTTTGGAATGAGAGTGGAGGCCAGGTCCTTGAAGGAGATATCTGGTTATTCACAGTTTTGTTTAACCTGGATGGGTACGTCCACAACAACTCTTTTCATTGGATTTGACACCACAGTGACTCAGGATACCTCATGCAAAAACATTTAAAAAGCCAACCAAACATTTGCAAGCCTCTAACAAAACTTGGGGTCAGATTATTTAAGAGTTTTGGATTAAGGTTCCAGTCAATTACCATTTTAGCTCAACTCTCCCTGGTCACCACTCTTTTTAGGCCCATCCCCTCCTGAGAAAGCTGGGTTAGAGCCAGTCCTATGATTTTCTCTAATACTAGGTCTACTGGCAGGTTTTTACTGTGTGGTGAAGGAAAAACACCACATACTTGCAGAGAGAGTGGCACAAAATCACCAATATTCTTTATTATTGGGTTCGTTTTCACACATGCGCCAGTGACTAACAGAAGGCAGGAGTGAATCTCAAATGTGAAGCAAAATCCACGCTTCAATGCCTAGAGAGGTTGGGACAGATGGATTGGGAATTGTGGCAGTGTTTTCTAAATACGAGAAAGTGTGAGCAGTTCACCAGCTTCAGTTTACGGGCTGTTGTTCTATATCTCAGGTTGGTCGAAATGCTGCTTCATTGGGTTGAGATCTAAAGGTGAATGTGCACGTGTGTGAGTGTGGCAGGGGAGGAGGACATTGCTGTGCAAAGGGAGGAATGGGAAAAGGAGAGAGGAGAGGAGTAGGGGAAGGCTCTAGGGAAGATTACCAGGATGTCCAAGTAGGTGAGTGTGGCCTAGCAAAAAAAATACGTGTGGTCTGGCGCATACTTCTGTACTTATTCACCAGGTTGCTTATAATCCAAGACTATTTGCCCAGGCGGTTGAGTCTGCAGCAGTTATTTTCTTATCTGTTTACATAGAGGCAGCTGACTCTCCCTGTGGGAATGGCAGTTTTTTGTGGGTGGCGTCCTGAGGTAAGGCCCCGAGCCAGGAGTCTCCATGATCACGCTGACAGAGGCCAGGCGGGTGAGCGGCAGGCTGCAGCCTCACCACGCCCCAGAGGTGACTGTGAAGGCCAGTGGCTCTTGCTGTTCGGGGAGGCAAGTTGTCCTCCTCTCTTTTTGAAATGAGGTTGAGACAGGAGCAAGAATGAACTAGGAGCACCAGGAAAAGTTTTATTAGGCTGGTCCCTCACTCGGTGAAAATCCTCCCCTTCAGCCAGAAGCCACCATGGATGTATCTCGTTGCTCACTCAAACTCCAACTGGCTGTGGATCCTTTCCTATTGACTTAAGCTGGGCTTTGGCCTCTGTCAGCCTCCAGCAAGGCTATAAATAGTGTCTTATAAACAAAGGCACTATTAGAACATTTCTAATGGATGCCTTCAGTATCTTTCATATCCTCAAGGTTTCTGTCTCTCACAGTCTGATAAGCTTTTTATCACAGTGTTGCTGATAGACACAAATAAGAAAATAAAGAAGGAAGGATATAAGTAATACAAACATCATTACCTGGTCCAAGCCTCATAATCTTGGGAAGCAGGCCCTTGTACAAAGCTAAAATCCTATAACCAGAAGAGAAAGAGTGACATTCTTATTCTGAAAATAAAATGAAGCTGTACCTCAGCTTTATTGTGATGCTGACCTACCATTTACAAAAAAGAATTATTTAAAATTACACACATCCCAGACAGTATCTGGCTAAGTATTCTCTGCAGCAAATTGGACAAGGGGAAAGAGCTAATCAATTCTTTATTACCTAAGCTATGCTGGTCTTGTCCAATCAGAAATATGACTTTCATCAGCAAGATGGTTTTTGCTTTCAAGACGGGTCTGACTTTTGAGACAGCTGTGTATATGGACAAAATGACTTTGTGATTGAATTTGAAAGACCACAAACTCAGTCTTCACGTAAGGAAACATGGTGCAGTGTAGATCAAAATAATAAAATGTTACTTGTTTACTTGAGAATAAGACCAGGGTGAGGGATGAAAAGACAAAAGTAAGGAAAAAAGAAAAAAAGAAAAAAAAAAAAAAGACCAGCAGAAAAAGGCACATACTTTAAGTTTTTAAAAGAAAATGACTCTCACAGAACTCTCATGTTTAATTCTCCCAGGAGAATAGAATTAGGTGACATTTTGATGAGATTTACAGTCAGAAGACAATCATTCTCCTGCCCACGTGTTAACAGGGCATAGTAAATGTAACAGCATATTATGCAAACTGACAAGCAAAGAGTTCATCTTCTCATTCTAAGACAAACATGCATGTACTGTACGATGGTGGCTCATGGTTCTTGATGGTGTAAGAACATTTGCCACCGTCGCATTATTGTGTTATCTTGAAAGCTTGTCATCTATTCCCTAGAGCTTCTCAGACACACACCCAATTTAGGAGGGCTTAATGGCTCTCATCAAAATGCAAGTGCAATATGTTTTTAACAATACTTGAGAATTGTACATTTATTAACATAAGAATGCATTACCCTTCTTCCCGATAGACTATTGCCATTGTTTTAAAACAGGTTCTGTACTTGATTTCTCCAGGAACTGGCTGAGGCCCTTGAATCCTACTTTTGGCAACATCAAAAGGGATGTTAATGACTGAGGCTATTGTACCCGAGAGAAGACCAATCCCAAATTTTCTCAAAAACTCCAAGGTTGGATCCTAAAAGAAAAGAATAAAATAACAGAAAGGGAAGCGGAAGGCCCTAAATCGGTTAAAAACTATAAAGCAATATGTATTTAAGCAGAGCAATGAACTCCCCGGCACCCTCCTGTTATTCCAGAGGAACACATTAGGATTTCCTAGGCTGGAACTTGTTTTCTTGACAATCCCATTGGCTATGTTTTTACACATGGTCTAAATTGCTGAAGTACACATTTCCTCACACAGGATTTATAAACACAGTTCATAAAGAAAGACTGGTATGGCATATGGGGATGATTTGTATAATTGGGCTTCACAATGTACTTAGTATTACTGTATCAAAACAGGAGAAATCCAAGCACACTATTAGCTAATTGGCCAGAATATTTTACAAATGACAGCAACTTCCACCATGAAGCCTACTAAAATGCTCATTTGTGTTTGGACCCCCAAATGGTAAATTAAATCAAGGCTACTCTCGGTCTGCTGCTATTCCCCTCCAGGTTTTTTGCATTTATTTTCACGTGTAGCTGATCCACTGTACTGAGAAGTGCTAGCTTCCTGTTATTAACAAACCAACTCGGGGAGGCTGCAAAACAGCCTGTGACATTCTGTGCATTATAAACAGTAGTAAGTCACTGGACTAATTGGCTGAAGAATTTACAGGCCATTGTTTCTGATTCTTATTCTTCCTCCATGGCAAAGGAAGAAAAGGAGAGAGAGACAGAGACACAGAGACATGGAGAGAGGGGGCAGAAGAGAGAGAGAGAATCATTTCTTCTTTCCATTTAAATCTAGGTCCTTCACGTCGGTCTGATTTGATTTTTTACCCCTCCCTGCTCTGTTTTCTGACATCAAAGTATTTAATTAGGTCTTACGTGGGAGTCACTTTCCTTCAGCCTATTTTTGTGTCTAGTGAGCTCACATTATGCTTTGTTATAATGAATTTGCTAGGAAGTTCTCATTATGTTTTCAGCCTCAGTTCTTGCCCTAAAGAGAGGTCATATCACATTCTCAGAGGACTGAGACCCCCCCCATCCCCCCCGTCCTCCGTCCCATCCTTGCCCTGCCTTCGCTTTTGGTCCTATTTCAGAAGGATCTTCACAGAGGAACAACACAGGGCCAGGCCATGGCACTATTTTATCCAGCAGGAGAACTAAAATGGGGGAAACGTATTCTGCTTCATTAAAAAAAAAAATCAAGCCTGAGCATTACATGCTTCTATAGCTTCTCTGGAAGAAGAAAACTTCTGGAAGTTCTGAAATTTTCAACTGAACCAAGAGCCATCACAGAGACTCCTATGTGGCTAAATATAAAAAGTGAGGGGTTCGGTAATAATTCTTGGATCTGGGCCATACAGGTGCCGGGTAGGTTTAAAGGGATTTGAAAACCAACAGGGTGTTTCAACAGGAAAAACAATGCAGTGATTGCAGAATGAGTGAGGTGTGTTTAAATAATTCTCTCTCCCCCCTTTTTTCTCTTTTACAAGGAGAGAAAAATGCCTTTATGTTACCCTTCTCCCTGACAGCACAGAAGCAGACCTGGGGCTCGGGAGGACGGCAGATTCGGGACCAGCTCTGGGTGTCTGACCTTGTGTGAGTCACTGAATCACACAGAGCCCAGCGTGTAGAAGAGACGTTTTTAACACCTGCCTTACTTTTGTACTGTATGAGGTTTTTTTTTTTTTGAGGACGATCAGCCCTGAGCTAACATCCATGCTAATCCTCCTCTTTTTTTTTTTGCTGAGGAAGACCAGCTCTGAGCTAACATCTATTGCCAATCCTCCTCCTTTGTTTTATTCCCCAAAGCCCCAGTAGATAGTTGTACGTCATAGTTACACATCCTTCTAGTTGCTGTATGTGGGACGCGGCCTCAGCGTGGCCGGAGAAGCGGTGCGTCAGAGCACGCCCAGGATCCAAACCCGGGCCGCCAGTAGCGGAGCGTGGGCACTTAACTGCTAAGCCACGGGGCTGGCCCTGTATGAGTTTTCTGAGAGATAAAAACAATAATAGCAGTAAAAGTGCCATAAATGTTGTACAAGCCTGGCAGAAAATGGGTAGTATTGTTATGTAGCCTGTTTTCTAAAGACTCAAAGCACCCTGTAATAAGACTGTCTCATGGTGTCCCCGGGACACGGCCAAGCTCTCCTTTTTCAATTGAATACAAGGGTGAAAATGACGACTTGCATGCACTTTATCCTTTTGGGAAGCTCAGGGCACCCTGTCAAGCACGCAGCTTGTCCCATCTCCTGACGTGTTTGCGGAGGATGAGCTGGGGATGGCAGGTAAGCTAAGACACTCGATGAAGACCATTATGCTTGAGACCCGGTTGGAGACCAAAACCTAAGGTCTTCAAGCCATCACAGTGTTCACTAGCATGAGTATGTTTTGAACCCATGTTTTCTATACATTTCCCAGCCCAGTAGTAAGGTCCCACAGTAGTTCCCATATGCAGCTGTGCATCAGAATCACCTGGAAGCTTTACATAATATGGATGCCTGGCCCCATGTTAGACCCACCTCAGGTTCCCAGATCAGAATCACCTGGGAAAGTGCCTGAAAGTTGTTTTAAAACATCTTCAGGACTTCTGAAGCTGCCAGGCTGAGGACCCATGTCCAGGAATCAGTGATTTTGATATTCCATGCAGGCAAAGCAGATGGTCAGTTGCTATCCCTCTGGGCATTCTAGGGAGGAGAAAAGTCTTCTTGGGCTGGCCAAGCGGTATCCCTCACCACCTGGCCTCTGGGCCACTAGCCAGTCTCTTGCTCTGAGCCCATGGTCTGTCTTATGCAGCACCCCGGCTTCGGAGTGGGTGTGCCAAGGAGGCCTTCTCAGCTCCTCCGCTTTCTGTGCTTACGTTGTCAACCATCCTCGAACAAATGCAGCCTCTCAAATGCCTCTCCCGTTTGTCCCTTTCTGGCTACTCCTCCTTCTCTGACTTTGGTTCAGGTTCCCTCACCTTCCCCAGGTCTTGCTTTCTTCTTGCCCTCTATCGTTTATCCTTCACAGAGGCACCAAGATTCTCTTTTTATAAAAACAGATCTGCTTCTGGTATCTCCCTACTCAAAGATCTTCAATCCTTCCCCACTGCATGGAGAATAAAGCCAAAGCTCTTCACTTGGCCTTTGGTTTCTTTCCCACAATATGCTTCCAACTTATCTGTCTAGCCTCAAGTTCTACACCTCTACCTCCAACCTATACTACCGTCATACTGGTTAAATCATAATTGCCCAAATTTATACCAAGCACTTTTCTTTTTTTTTTTTTAATTTTTATTTTATTTATTTTTCCCCCAAAGCCCCAGTAGATAGTTGTATGTCATAGCTGCACATCCTTCTAGTTGCTGTATGTGGGACGCAGCCTCAGCATGGC